GGAGGAGGGGAGGAGGAGGAGGAGGAGGAGGAGGAGGAGCAGGAAGAAGAAGAAGAATAATAAGAAGAAGAAGAGGAAGAAGAAGAATAATAATAAGAAGAAGAAGAGGAATAATAAGAAGAATAATAATAATAAGAAAAAGAAGACGAAGAAGACGAAGAAGAAGAAGAAGAAGAATCATCAGAAGAAGAAGAGGAAGAAGAAGAAGAAGAATAATAATAAGAATAAGAAGAATAATAATAATAAGAAGAAGAAGCAGAAGAAGAATAATAATAATAATAATAATAAGAAGAAGCAGAAGCAGAATAATAAGAATAAGAAGAAGAAGAAGAAGAATAAGAATAAGAAGAATAATAAGAGGAATAAGAAGAATAATAAGAATAATAAGAAGAATAAGAAGAAGAGGAGGAAGAGGAGGAGGATGAGGATGAGGAGGAGGAGAGGAGGAGGAGAAGCAGGAGGAGGAGAAGCAGGAGGAGGAGAAGCGGGGGCGTAGGAGAGGAGGGAGGAGGAGGAGGAGGAGGAGGGGAGCAGGAGGAGGAGGCGGAGGAGGAGAGGAGGTGGAGGAGGCGGAGGAGGAGGGAGGGCAGGAGTAGGAGGAGGGGGAGAAGGAGGAGGAGGAGGAGGAGGAGGAGAGGAGGAGGAGGAGGAGGAGGAGGAGGAGGAGAGAGGAGGAGGGGAGGAGGAGTAGGAGGAGGAGGAGGGAGGAGGAGGAGGAGGAGGAGGAGGAGGAGGAGGAGGAGGAGGAGGAGGAGGAGGCGGAGGAGGAGGAGGAGGAATGGAGGTGGAGAAGGGGAGAAAGAGGAGGAGGAAGAGGAGGAGGAGGAGGCGGCGGAGGAGGAGGAGGAGGTGGAGGAGAGGCGGAGGGAGGGGGAGGCGGGGAGGGAGGAGGAGGAGAGGAGGAGGAGGAGGAGGAGGAGGAGGAGGAGGAGGAGGAGCTGGAGGAGGAGGAGGAGGAGGGAGGAGGAGGAGGAGGAGGAGGAGGAGCTGGAGGAGGCCTGTCCCAGCGCCGTCTTGGGACCCCTCCGGGTCTTGCAAGCCGCTTGTCAAGACGCGCAGGAGCAATGTCGAGCAGAAAGAGGAAGCGCGGGGGAGGGCGGTCTCCCCCAGCGGCGGGGGCCGACGGGGGGCCGTTCCCAGAAGCCAGGGCATTCTGCCAGGGGTGTCGCGGAGGGACTGGGTCGAAGAGGGAGGGGGGAGGACCGGGTCCAGGGGGAAGGGGTGGAGGAAGGTTCCGTCGGTTCTGAGAGGTTTTCGTCGTCCCCGGCTGTCTTCCCTTGTTCCCTCAGCGCCCTGTTCGCCCCGGGCCCTCTCAGAAGCGCCGGCCGTCGCCCAGCTTTGCCCCCCCCCCCCCCCGCGCCACCGCCTCCTCGAGGAGTGCGCCCTAAAGGGGCGCGCGCCCCTGGCGTCGCTCACGAAGGTGCCCGACCCGTCGTATACATCAGGGCAGCCGACGCAGGCTCGCTCGCCGCACCGCGCCGCCCCGCGCGATCTCCGCGCGCGCGCTCTGCACGCCGCGCCCGCGCTTGCACTGCGCGCCGTCGGCGATTAGCGTTCTTCAGAGGACCGGCGTCGAGCGAGGGGGAGGAAGTGAGACAGAGAAGGCCTTCTCAGAAGGCGGCGGAGCTTCTCAGACGCCCTCCCGCCTTCTGAGAGGTGCTCTGTGTCTTCGGAGAAGGCTTAGAGAACGTCTAACAAGGCCTCAGGACTTTCAAGCCTTTTGATAAGGCCTTTTTCTTTGCACTTCCCCCCCTGGGCACGCCGCCACGAGGAGGAACAGACCCTGACATCCTCGCGTCGTGAAAGATCATGGGGGATGGCTTCCGGTCGCTTTCGGCCATCGGGGGCCCTCGCCGGGCTCCAGGGCCGTCGCAAAGTTACGCGGGATGAGACTCCGACCCCAGGGAAGGGGTCCAGACTTTTTGGATGTTTCGCGATGTGAAAAAAGAGTGCCCTCGAGGGCGCGCAGTTATTCGCGCTTCGCGGTTCGGCCCCGATTCCTCATCATCCTTTTCTACCGTGGGGGGCGGCGAGAGAGCGAGAAGTTAGGCGCCTTTCGAAACAGATCGCGACGTCTGAGATCTGGGACCACTGCTGCGCTTTGCTCTTTTTTTCGCTCCTTCGGGCCTCCCTGGGGGCCCTCGTCGCCACTGCTGGGTTCGCCCTGCAGTCATGGTCAGGCCGCGCCTGGGAGGGGCGGCATCGGAACATGTCTGCCCCCCCCCCCAGTTCGACCCTTTCTCTCCCGCTGATGCCCATACTTAAGTCTGGCCTGTCCCTCTACAGGAGGATAGACTTCAAAATAGTCAAAAAATAGTCAAGGGACCATTTTTGGCATATGTTTGACCATTTTTGCAGTATTTTTAAGGATTTGTTTCTTTCGTCGACAATCCCCCTGTAGAGGGACACGCCCGACTTAAGCCCATACGCTCCAGGCGGCGTGGGAGATGTGGCGTGCATCGAAGTCCTGTTCCCCAGAGGGTCGTTTTTTGACAGATCCGTGCTGCCCTCTCTCAGGAGGGAAAGAAACATAGACACAATTAGTCGTCGACTCCCCAGAAAATATTGGAAAATCTGGGAAGTGGGGGGGAAGACACAAACCCCCAACATATGGGAAAATATAGGGTATCCTGTTATTTGTGTGTATTGATGTGTGTGTGTGTGTGTGTGTGTTTGTGTGTGTGTGTGTGTCCCAGGGCCCCTGCACTCTCCAGCCCCTCGGAGGGTTGGGACAGGAGCCGGGAGCAGGCGGATAGAGCCTGGCTCGCCCATGCTGCGGCAGCGGGCGAGGCGCGCACTCGGACTGACGACGGGGGGGGGTGGCATCTCCTCGGCTCGGTGTGCCGCGAGGTTCCGGACGGGGCGCGGCCAGCCCTCGGGACCGCCCGGCTCCGCTCGTGGAATCCGGGCACCCTGGGTGGCGCTCGTCGTGCGGAGGGAGGATTGGGAGGGCAGCGGGGGAGGGATCGAGGTGGGGATGGTGGTGGGGTAGAAGTGTGTAAGTGTGTGTGTTGGAGAGAAGGAGAGAAGAGGATGGGGAGGATAAAGGAGGAGGAGGAGGAGGAGGAGGAGGAGGAGGAGGGGAGGAGGAGGAGGAGGAGGAGGAGGAGGAGGAGGAGAGGAGGAGGAGGAGGAGGAGGAGGAGGCACGGATGAGGATGGAGAGGGAAGGAAGAGGTGAGGAGGATCATGAGAAAGAGCCAGAGAAGGAGCCCCGGTCGTGATTTCTCACGATGCTGCATCTCTTGCCGCAACGTCGGCTCTCAGGGGGCGTCGAGGCGTCGGTCTGTCGCTTGGAGTCTTCCGGCCCCCCTGGCGGCCCTCGCCCCGCGTGGCCAGGCCTCACTTGAACGAAGGATTGCAAAAACACGAAGGATTGCAAAAAACATAGTTTTTTGCAATCCTTCGTTTTTTTGCAATCCTTGCAATCCTTTGCAATCCTTCGTTTTTTCCCATATCCTAAGATGGGGTTCTTGTTATTACTTGGACGCCTCCTACTCCTCCTCCTCCTCCTTCCTCCTCCTCTTTTCTCCTCCCCTCCTGTCGGACATACTCAGACTTGCTCATACACAGACTTACTCATACTCAGACTTACTCATACTCAGACCTACTCATACTCAGACTTACTCACACTCAGACATACTCATATACAGACTTACTCATACACAGACTTACTCATACACAGTATTAGTCATACCCAGACGTACACATACACAGACTTACTCATACACAGACTTACTCATACTCAGCACCCCTAAGGGGAGCCGCCAGGGGTGGTTGCACGGGCTCGTTCGCGGCCATTTTGTGGGGATGTCTCAGGCGGTTTGCCTGTTTCTGTGCCCAACATCCTTCGCTTTCGGAGCAGATTTGGAGGATGTCTCGAGCGAGGCGCTCATTTCAGCACCCCTAAGGGGAGCCGCCAGGGGTGGTTGCACGGGCTCGTTCGCGGCCATTTTGTGGGGATGTCTCAGGCGGTTTGCCTGTTTCTGTGCCCAACATCCTTCGCTTTCGGAGCAGATTTGGAGGATGTCTCGAGCGAGGCGCTCATTTCAGCACCCCTAAGGGGAGCCGCCAGGGGTGGTTGCACGGGCTCGTTCGCGGCCATTTTGTGGGGATGTCTCAGGCGGTTTGCCTGTTTCTGTGCCCAACATCCTTCGCTTTCGGAGCAGATTTGGAGGATGTCTCGAGCGAGGCGCTCATTTCAGCACCCCTAAGGGGAGCCGCCAGGGGTGGTTGCACGGGCTCGTTCGCGGCCATTTTGTGGGGATGTCTCAGGCGGTTTGCTTGTTTCTGTGCCCAACATCCTTCGCTTTCGGAGCAGATTTGGAGGATGTCTCGAGCGAGGCGCTCATTTTCACCCCCCAGGTGGGCCAGATTTTGAGGATGTCTCGATCGGTTTGCTTGTTTTGGTGGCCAGGCTCGTGGGCGCAGATTCTTCTCAGGATGCCACAGGAGGCTCCAACAGGCTCCAGGAGGCCCCAGGAGACCACATGAGGTCCCAGGAGGCATCAGGAGGCCACAGAAAGACTCAAGAGGCCACAGGATGTCCCAAGAGGCTCCAGGAGGCCCCAGGAAGCTCCAGAAGGCCTCAGGAAACCACAGGAGACCCCAGGAGACAACAGGAAGCGCCAGGAGGCCTCGGAAGGCAACAGGAGGCCCCGAGAGGCCCCAGGAGCAGGAGGCCTCAGAAGGCAACAGGAGTGGCTCCAATCCCATGTGTTTTACGTATGCTCCTATCGATTGGGCCTCACCTGGAGCACGATTCTTTGATGTTCTACGTATGTTTCTATAGATGGTCCTTCTCCTGTGTACACAATCCTAAATGTTTTACTCATGTTCCTATGTATTGGGCCTCTCCTGGGGCACGAGTCCTTGGTGTTTTACGCGTGTTCCTATAGATTGCCCTTCTCCTGTGGCTCTAATCCGCAATGTTTTATGTACGTCTGTTGCTATAGATTGCGCCTCCCCTGGGGCACGAAACCTTCCTAGGAGGTCCCAGGAGGTCCCAAGAGGCTCCTGGAGACCCCAGGAAGCCCCAGTAGGTTTCAGGAGGCCCCAGGAGGCCCCAGGCTCATGCACAGAGACGCGCTCGTACTACTGAGGCTCATTCACACTCCAATTCATTCGCAGTTAGATTGATGTCCAGACCGTCACAACTGAAGCCCGTTAATATTCGAAAGCTCTTGCGCCTAGACATTCACGGCGGACAGGTCCATGCGAGTAGATGCACATATGGGGAGCTCCACGCAGTGAATAATTGCAATCCTTCGTTTTTTTGCAATCCTGCGTGCGTGTCACGCTCGATCGGCTGGGTTCTCGGCGTCGATCGCTGCCCTGCGTGGCTCCTCCTTGGGGTCACCCCCGCGACCCGCTGCTCTCCTCGGGCGCTCGGCGTCCGTGCCTCGCTCGGCCTCTCGGCCTCCTTCTCTCGCGGCCCGCCGCCATCTTCCGGCCTGTTGGCCACCGCTCCCGGTCTGCCGCTCGGGTCTCGCCCCCGTGGTTAATTATCCTCCCTCGCTCCGCCCCGTCCAACCCTGGCCCTTCCCAGCCCGCCGGCCCTCTCCAGCGCGCTGCGGCTTTTCCAGCTCCAGCCGCCCGCCGTGGCTCCTCGACCGCCAAATCTTGGCGCGGCCCCCAGTCGCGCTGCCGCGCGCCGGGCTTCTAGGTCCGCCTCCCTGGCGCGGCGTCGCCTTGCTGCTGCCCCCTTTCTGTTCCGCCGCCCGCTGCCCCCGCCCGCCCGCTGCCCCGCTGCCCGCGCGGCCGCTGCCCTCTGCCTGCCCTGCCACCACCGTCCACTGCCCCGTGAGGGGCCCGCCGTCTCCCCGTTCTTTTCTTCTCTCCGCTTCTGCGCGCCCCGCGAGGGGCGCCCGACGCGCTGGCGAGTCGCCGCGCCGCTACGGCCGAAAAGTGTGTGCGCGCGTGCGCCCCACATGTGTGAAGCCCCGCGTGTGTGCGTGGATGGACCCCAACGGCGCGGGACATCGAGCATGGAACCCCGTGCGTGTGGAACCCCGTGCGTGTGGAACCCCGTGCGTGTGGAACCCCGTGCGTGTGGAACCCCGTGCGTGTGGAACCCGACGTGCGTGAGGAACCCCGTGCGTGCGGCACACCGTGCGTGTGGAACCCCGTGCGTGTGGAACTCTACAGTGGGGACCCATGCCAAGAACTACCCTGCCTGCCTCCAGGGTGCCCTGGGCTTCTTGGGTGTCTGATGCTTCTGCCATGGACGCGTGACGCTCCCACGCCAGACATCGGTGGGCGCCCTGGGGTCTCAGGCGTGGGCTTCTCGTGGAAGGTGTCCTGTGCACTGGCCTCCGCTGCATGCTGAGCGCGAGGCGTGCGGGACCCCACGGCGGCGGCGACCAGCCCCCCAGGGCGGCGATCGGCTGGAGCCCCGGCGCGCTGCCCGCCGGCGGCGGCCAGATTTCCACGGCGGCGGCAGCTGGCCCCACACATACCCCAGGGGGGCCCCCTCCTGGGACGAGCACGACGATGAGTTCGGGAACTTCTCACGGGGATCGAGCGGTGAGAGCGCCGCGCCGGTTCTTCCGGGTCCTTTCCGAAGGGCCAGCGTGCTCGCGCGCGCCTGTCGCCCGTCTCTGGGTCGCCCTCTGCGGCGATGACAGTTCGTTCGCTCGTTCGTTGGGGCCCTCGTGGAGGCCGTCGAGGCCCCCTCGGGGCCAGAATGGCGACCATCGATCAAGGAACGGGGCGGCGCGGATTCGTGGCCCGTAAGAGTCAGGAGGGGAAAAAAAAACACAGACACAATTACTCGTCGATTTCCCAGAAAATATGGGAAAATATGGGAAGTGGGGGGGAAGACAAAAACCCAGAAAATATCGGAAAGCATGGGGAATCCTGTTATGTGTGTCATCTATTTACTTGTGTGTCCCAGGGCCCCTTCAAAGAGGGCCCCACTGTGGCGTGGAGACGGCCAGATCCCCACGGCCAGATTCCGCACGCGGCGCTGGCTTCATGTATGTCAGGAGGAGAAAAAACACACACAGACACAATTGTTCTTCGATTCCCCAGAAAGTATATGAAAATATTGGAAGTGTGTGGGGGGAAGACAGAAACCTAGAACATATAGGAAAATATGGGGAATCCTGTTATTTGTGTGTATTTATCTGTGTGTCCCAGGACCCCTTTATGGATGGGGCGGCAAGTGGGGCCCTCGGTGCAACAGGGGGCCGTCCCGGGGAGGGGGGACCCAGACCACTATGCTGCCCATGCTTTCGAGAGGAACCGTCTGTGGCCAAATGTGCTTCCCAGCAGAAGCCCGACCCTCACGGCAAGCATTGTCAGGGCGTCCCTGGGAAACGCATCCTGGTTTGGGCACGCCGCGAACGCTGGCGCTTCCAGCGTTTGCCAGGGCGTGCGGTTCTGCAAACACGAACAGAGCAGAGGCCGACACAACAGCCAAACTGTGAACAAAAATACCACTGGAGGTTCTTCGCTGTTTTCGGCCCCTGGGGGCCCTCGCGGGGCCTCGGGATCGTCG